ACTGGAGGGGCTGGGGCTGGCTGTGTGGCTCAGGGATGGAGTGTGTGCTGTGTTGCCTATAGCCTGGAGTCCATCCCAGCACCCAAAAGAAAGCAGTGGTCAGGTGACTTAGGACACACTCCTTGGACCCTGTGAATCTTAAAAATTGGCATATCATGTGTGTTGAGCATGTGGACCAGTAGGCAGCATCTTTTAGTAAATGTACCCAGAATTCCAGTGCACGGAGTCTCCTGGAAGTCCCTGTAGTGGCCGGAAGTTGCCTTCCATGTCAGACGTGAAGCTACAGAGGTGCCCTCCTGTCGGTTTTGGTCCTCATCATCCCTTCATCCAAAAGGTGTCAGCAGTCACGAAGCAGCAGGGGCTGGATTTGAACTCCTGTCTGCCCGATTCTCTGGTCCATGACATCATTTTCCTATAGGAGGGTCTTGAGTGGCCCAGGAGAAAGAAGGCTGGGGATGTGCACTGATCTACGGTCAGGGAAAACCCTGGCAAAGCACAGAGTTGGGGTGGGATGAGACTCTCAGCATGGCCCAGCAGGTGGGTTGTGAGGGAGGTTGAGAGGCCAGGGAGATTCGATTGGTACCAGGGGCTGCAGAGAGACAGGAAATCCTAAGAAGGCCGTTTCATGTCAGAACAGCATTTGGAAAAGACAGAGTGTGCTGCTGAGTGCGAGCATGTGCTATCAGGGAAGAAGGGCAGGATGCGTTACAAAGAAATCCTGTAAGCCCTTCCATCCCGGCTTGATTTCGGGCTATGCTGTGGGCAAGGATGTGGCCTCGTTCTCAGCTTCTCTTTTCCTGCAGTTCTGGGCATTGAACCCTGGCCTTTGCGCTGAACTCTACCCCCAGCCTTTTGATAATTTAAGAATTTTGAGACACTAAGTCCCTGAGTTGTCCGGGCCTGGCTCAAATTTGTGACCTTCTGCCTCAGCCTCCTGGAGTGCCGGGATCACAGGCTCGTACCACTGTGCCTGGCTTCTCAGCCTCCTTTCTGGTCTTCTTTGAGGGGCCCAGGGACCCTGCAACCATTCCCTCTCCTTTTCTCCTGACAGAGGGGCCCACAAGCCCTGACTCCTGGTGCTCTGCTGAGAGGCTCCTGGAGAGTGTGGGCCTGGCTACCGTGTCTGCAGGAGGATTTATGAGCTGTGAACCCCAGATCATAAGGTTCCCATATTGCACTTTTTAAAAAAAGGCCAATAACTTAAGAAAATATTTTCCCCATAAGAGAACTTCAAAGGTCCTAGAGAATCACGTGCTGAAAATTATTGAAAGGCGGAATTGCAGACGTCTTGAATTTCAGCACAAAAGAACGTGCTGAGGCCAGACAGGCCCCTTCACAGTTAAATATTTCTCTCTTTTTTTATTTTTGAGTGCATCAAATGCAGGCCCAAAGCTGCTAGGCATTTGGCTGTGGCCATCTGGAGGGCAGCCTTGCCGACTGGATTTTTTTTTCAGACAGAGGAGGAGGCGTGCAGAGATGGGGCTATTGAATACCATCCTTGTTTCAAAAGGTAAAAGCATACATCTCCCTGAGGGACAAAGCGGCCCTGATCTCCTTTACAGAGCAGGCGGCAGTTGGAGGACAGTGACCATCCTGCTGTTCCTGGTGGGGTTGACTTTGGCCAAGTTATTTAAACTCACTGAGCCCCAGGGTTATCACCCATGAATTGGGGTAATGTTTGCTCTAGTGTTTGATGGGCTTGTTCAGAAGATCCATGGCGATCACATTTACATTTGTGACAGTGTGTCCTGTGTCCACCCATGCTCCTGCTTTACAGAGAGAATTTCTGCTTTCCCTAAGTCACTTTCATCATGCTGGGGCTCAGTGCCTGGTACCAGCAAATTTTACGGGGTAGGTTTATTTTCGTTCATGTGTTTTAGAGGTTTCTGTCCACAGTGGGCTGGCTCTAGGGCAGAGGCAGTAATGGGTAACGGCCTGGGCGGAAGAAATGGCTCCCAGAAAGCAGAGTGTGAAGGGAGGAGCCAGGGAGAGTGATAAACCCTTGCAGGCCACGCCCCCAGGGACGCCTCTTCCAATCAGGCTGCACCTCCTAACAGGAAGTCAGCTATGGCGCTCTGATCATCCAGTCACCTTCCGAAGGCCGGGCCTATTAGCACAAGAGGCTCTCTGGGGACATCTAGATGGTAACCCTGGCACCAGGAGTTTACTTCCTGCCATGGGAGAAGAGAGGCTGTGTGTTGGGGAGAGCTGGGTGGCCCCGGGCAGAGGCTTTCTGGAAAGGCTAAGTTCTCAGCGGTGTCTGTTCCAGCACGGGGGCCTCAGCAGATCTCACCCCACAGACCCCGTGTGGGTCTAAAGCCACCACACATCACAGTCAAGTGACTTAACCCATTTTTTTTTTTTTTTTATAACAGAATCCACGAGACTGGGTAATTTACAAAGTTTATTTAGCTCAAAATTCCCGAAGTCCAAAAGCATGGCAACCAGAATTTGCTCAGCTTCCGATCAGAGCCTGGTACTGGATGAACAGCGGAAGAAGAGGAGTGCATGTGAGGGAGGGGTCCCGCGACAAGAGAGGGAGCGAGAGCAAGCCAGAGAGCAAGGCCGAGCTTGCTTGGTAACAACCAGCCCTCGTGATAACTGACCCAGTCTCCGAGGAGCCACATTAGTTCTCTCCTGAGGGCTTTGCCCCTCGACCCCCCACCTCCCATCCCTGTTTCCAGGGTGACAAAGTCAGTGAGTTTTGGCGGGGACAAGCCACTGTGCAGCTGCATCAGTGAGCGTCCATGTGACCACGCCAAGGTCGGCGTAGAGGGCTCCACTGTAGAGGGCTCCACTGTGCCCGTTCAGTTTGGAGGTGGCAGCGCTCTTGTCCCGAAGGAGGCCAGTGCTGTTTTCGCTCCCAGGTGTCTGGTGTCCTCTGTGGGGATGATGGGAGAGTTTCAGGCTTGGAAACTGCTCCAGGGACAAGGGGTGTGTTTCAGGGATCATCACTGGACCAATGATATTGAAGACCAGTCTTGGCAAGACTGCGACTGTTACAGGAATGTTCTTGGACCCTTGGTTGCCTTGCTGCATTGTTTTTGATTGTTATTGCTGTTTCGGTAGTGGAGATTGAACCCAGGGCCCTCCCACTGAGCTCCATCCCCAGGCAGTTTTAATTTTTAATTTTGAGGCAGGGTCTTGCTAAATCGCTAAGTCTCCCCAGCTGGTCTCAAAACTTGGAATTCTCCTGTCGCAGCCTCCATGGTGCTGGGGTTACAGATGTGCACCATCACAGCTGGCTCAAGGTCCAGTTATTTGAAGTGGCTGCTATTACTGTATTTGGTTTTTAGATAAAGGAACTAAGGATTAGGAAGACAGGGTATATTTTCCAAGTCCGATGAGTCTGCGAGAAACCTGAGGTGGAACCCAGACTTAGGCCTGTCTGAAGCTAAAGATGGTGCTTTTGAAGATGTCTGCCTGTGAGTAAATGACAGTAGCTTAACCAAGCAAGAGTTCATTTTCCCCAAACCATCAGAAGTTTACAGCAGAGTGATCCAGGGCTGGTTCGTGTCCTTCTATCATTCTGCTCCACCATTTTTTGCATTTTTTCCTATCCTCAGGGTTCCAGTATGGCTGCTGGTCTTCACTACATCATGCCGACATCCCAGGCAGGAAAAAAGGAGTAGAGACAAAGACTTTTCACCTCTGGGCTTTGTGTTTTCAACATGGAGGCACTGGTTTCCCTAGTAAATATCTGTTTATAGCTCCTTGTCCAAAACAATGTAATTGTATCATCCCCAATCGAAAAGGAGGCTAAGGATAGCACATTTTTGCTTTCTTACCTCTAACGTAGAGGCAGGTAGGAAATTCAAGGCTGGGATAGTTAGAAAGGACAACTAACAGTTTTCACTTAGCTGTGACTGGAACATTGTACTCCAGTTTCCTGGTGGAAACTGAGCTGGGCAGTGGCCGAGTTTTCCCTAGAAGGAGAATCTCTTCATCTAAACAAGTAGACCCAAATAGGTCCCCAAATCCCCCAGCTTCGCTCAGCCCTGCATTTTCCTGGGGACATCCCTGGTGCAGTGGGGGACCCAGGTTCCACCCAGTGCCTCCCATTTGGTTTTCCCTGACCTCTGCCCCATGATGATCCCATTAGAATCACTTTCTTGTCTGACTGGGAGTCAAACAGTCTTGCACAGAGCCACGTCCCCAGCCCTTTTTAACCTTTTTTATTTTGGGACAGGGTCTGAGTTGCTAAGTTTCCCAGATCTAGCTGGAATTTGTAATTGTGCCTCAGCCTCCCAGAGTGCGGGGATTATAGGCATGCACCACCATGCCCAGTTACCTGGATATGAATCTCAAAGCTCATCGTTTACAGGGAGTGCTCTCCCCAAGGTGCTGTCTCAGAGCTGCCGCATGGGAGATGGGGCTTGAACATGTAGAGTCGGGTGGGGGCAGTTCAGCCTACAGCAGGTGGCCCAGCGTGGGGCTTGAGTGACAGGTCTTGAACCTTCTACCTATGCTGGGCTGGGAGAGCTGGGCTCCCTGATCTTCCCAGATGTGGGACAGAAGAGGACATAGGAGTGGGGGCCATGGAGGCAGGGAGCAGCCAGCCAACCACAGAATCAGACGCTGTTGCCGTGTCCCTCTTTATGGGCTTACCTGTCCCACCCGGACTGCAGGCTGCAGCCTGATGTGTGCATGGTGACCTTGTAGCCCTGCCTTTGAGCATTCCCCGCAGCCTGGTGGCTCCCAGAATGGACCTCCTGGGTTTCTGTCCATTCTTGACCTCCATGTGTGAGTTCACCATAGCCCTGGACACTGTCTCCTGCTGACCCCCTAGTGCCAATCTATCCACTGCTGATTGATTTGTTTTTTTCTCGTTTTTTGCAGTTCTGGAGATTGAAGCCAGGGCCTCACACATATTAGATGAGCACTCTACAACTGAGCTACAGCCCTTTATAGCTTTTTATTTTGAGGCAGAGTTTCACTGGGTAGCCCAGTCTGGTCTTGAACTTGTGATCCTCCTGCTTCGGCCTCCAGAGTGGGTGGGATTCCAGGTGTGCGCCACTTTGCCCAGCTCTGTGTCTTCTTTTTTTCTGCCTGCCATGCCAGTGAGCTTCTAAGCAGAGTAGAACCGTGTGGCCGTAGTGTTTGGAGGGTCTGTGTGAGATACCGAAATCAGAAAATCACCCGCCACACCTGTGACTTTTTCGCCCTGCCCTCCCTCCTGGACTGGCAGTGGAGGAAGGAGAATGCCTCCTCCCACCATCTTTGTTCCCATCCAAGGCCGCTCCATCCTCTCCTGGCTGCTAATGCACAGCATGAGCCTGGACACTCAGGACACTGCAGCGGCCCATCCCGGAGGGCATCGTGTTCGGACTGGGAGACAAGATTCCTACAGGGAGAGAAAGCAGGAAGTCAGGGCCCAAATCAGGCAAGACAGTGACTTCAGAGCCCGCTGTGGGTTGGCACAGCCAGAGAGGAGGCTTCGTGGAGGTCTGGATGCTGGAGCCAAACTCGAGGGTGGGTGAGGTGGGGTTCAGCTGACGCCCCTCTCCCGTATGTTCCTGGAGTGATCATGGGGAGCACGTGACAGGGGGAGCCTGTGACACCCACAGTTCTCAGGAATGAGACTCAGGGAGGGAGCTCATTAGGGCCACCAGGAAGGGGGGGCTTTGGGGGTTCGGAACCCAAAAGTCTCTGCAAATGTGGGGTGAGTCCCACGGGAGACAAATCAAGGATGCCTGAGCCGGTGCGACTTCTACCAGATGCTGCCCATGCACCCTGCTTAGGAGGAGGAGGGGTGTGACTGCTTGGACCCTTCCTCCAGAATGTGGGGCGAATGAGGGAACGTTGTGTGAACCTAAGACCAATGCCCACTGGTCTGCTTATGTTTCCCGTGAGTCGTTTGAAGCAAGTTGTTTTACTTCTTTGGGACTCCGTTTACCCGTTCGCCCAGTGGGTAGGTGGTTACATAACACCAGTAAGCCATCACTACAGGTCTTTGCACACTAACCAAGCATTTCTCCATAGGTGGCCTTGTCTCCTTTACTCACTGTGATGGTGGTGGGTACCGATTTCTGTATACGTGGAAAATACAAGGTGCGGTTGAATGGATGGGGACTGTTTAAACTTTAAAAATTATTACGGTTAAAGATACATTGCTATGAATCTCCCCTCTGAAGACCCCCCTCGCCTCAAACCCTGCTCCCAACATTCTTGGAGCAGCTCTGGAGGGTCTCAACAAGAAGTGATCCCAAATGCAGTGAATGCCACTACCGAGCGCCATCCAGTGGAAAGGCAGGCTTGTAACAACATGATAATGTGTCCTGGTCCACGCTGTTCACCGGCTCTGGCACTGTGTGACTTCTGGCTCTCCCTCAAAGTCACGATGACCATCGAAGGGAGTTTAAAGTGGATTCAGGACATCTAGGCAGCCACAACAGTGCAACTAAAAATGCTCACAAAGGAGGCCTTCCAGAGCTGCTTCAGAAAGCGGCAGGAAGGATGGGATCAGTGCGTCGAATCGAGGGGGAACATTGGGGAAGATTAATGCAGTGTGTCTTTTACTGTAATAAAACATTTTATTAAAGCTTTCCCTATATTTTTCAATCATACCTTAGGTAGACGAAGGAGATTCAGAGACATTGAGCTCTTTTTCTGCTATTGTGAATGTGAGTCAGAGTCAGAGGCTAAGCTGAGATGGGTTGGGTGACTCTTCTGGTCATGTTGCTTCTTAAAATACAAAACACAGGCTGTAATGATGTAGGCCATGCCTATTGGAAACCGAAAGCCAAGCCAAGCCCTTGTGCTCTTGGTGGGGCTGACACCCCTGAGAATTCCTGGTTGCTATCCTAGGCAGGTAGAGGGACACTATTGCTGTCCCGGGTTTTGTGCTCATTCAGTGCAGGGAGGGCAGGCAGCGGGCTCCAAGAAGAGTTTCTCATGGTCACGTTGACTTCACAAAGGATGCATAGTGTGGTCCACAGCCTCCCCTCACTATGATGTCTCCATCTTCTGGATGCTGGGATCTTGGACCATGTCATGTTGTAGCACACACACACACACACATGGCCCTTTCCCTTCATGCTGCTGTTGTGTCAGCCCTCAAGTCCTTCTTGGTCGCATTACATGGTGAGCCGGAACTCTTGATAAAGGACCTCTGTACGGTGATGACAAGAATTGATTTCCAATTTCCTGCAGAATGACTCTATCATTGCTAGTGACTCAGGCAATTTAGCTCATATTCCAAGTCTGCCTGGGGGTTATAGATCACACTGACAGCTTCCCAGGCACTCAGGAGGAGGATTTTGACAAGATGAGGAGGGAGACATGTTCAAAGAGTTTTGCGCCGGGGGTGGTCAGGAGAGAATGGCTGTGCCAGGGGTTTGGGCCACGTGAGTGTCGTGCAGAGTGGGCATGCCTTTAGCAGGACAGTGAGGCCGGCTTGTGGCCTGACTTCCTGTATCTTCCGCGACAGCTCTCTTCCCACGTCCATGAACTACTCAGCCCTACTCAGAATGAGCACATGCAAGGATAGAGAGGATCTGTTTCCACCTTTTTCATTGTTACCTGATTCTTTTAGCTGGCATTTGCTGACAGTAACACAAAGTTCTCAGTTGGTATTCCACCATTTGGCCTGGTGGAAAGTACACGCAGAACTGAGTTTCATTTTTCTTTTTCCTACCGTCCCTCCCACTTATTTGCTGTGTGACACTGGGTACATTGTTTAACCACTCCGCCCTTCAGTTGGTTTATTGGTTCATGGATGTGGTCATAATGGGTCACTGTGGGGAGGGACTTAAATGAAATAACATGTAGGGACTCAAAATTAGTCAGATGAGAATCTCTTTTCTTTTTGGTCCTGCCTCGTGTTCGGTCTTGCTAACAGAAGGAACTTTCTCCATTTGTCCTATCACAAAATACCACACACTTGAGTTATTTACAAAGGGCAGAAACCTTGGATTTCTCACAGTTCCAGAGGCCGGAAGTGTAGGATCAAGTCATGGGCAAACTTGGTGTCTGGAGAGGGTTTGGTGTCTGTTTCTAAGATGGTGCCACGTTGTGGCATCCTCTGGAAGGGATGACTGCTGGGTCCTCACATGGTGGAAGGTAGAAGGGCAAGAGAGGGCTTCTTGAACCCATTTATCAGGTGTTAATCCCGATACAGTCATTTACCAGAAAGGCACCGCCACCACAGTGGAGCTGTGGTTAGATTACAACACAAACATTTTGAAGGAGACACCATTCAAACCTCAGCAATGAGAGATGGAGAGACCAGGGCTGCCCACCAACAAGTCAAGATGGTGTCTGAGGTCATGGTATTGCACCCTGCTCCCTGGCTGGCCTGGGGCCCTCCTCTGGGATCCTGTTGTCCTGGGCAGACCCTGTCCCCATTCCTTCTCATTTTGTCATGCTGCTCTGTCCTGTGTTGGTTGGGTCCAGAAGTGGAGGACTCTGTGAAAGGAGGGAGGACCGTTTCTTAGTGATCTCTGCATCTGATGTGGGACACGGTGGGGTATACTGCCAGGAGAGGTCTCTGCACATATAAAAATAGGTTTGGTCAGGGCTTATGCTTCAGTTTGTCACTAACTTGCTGCTCCCCAAACTTCCCAACTTGGTGAGACTCTAATTCCCCACTAGGCAAAGCCTTGCTTGGGATTATACCAATCCTAATGCCACCTTTTTACCATGTCCTGGGTCCTGTGATCAGCCCAAGTCTACTTTTGGAGGAAGTGGCCACTGTCTGGGATCAGATCTGTGCCATTGTCCTATTTATCAGCCATGTCTGGCATATCCACTTGGGGACATATGACCTTGACCATGACTTTGACTGTCCAGGAATCAATTTGGCAAGATTGTCTGCAATCTTGCACTCGAAATCACAAGCCCTGGTCAGTGCCTTCCTCCCTCTTGCCTGTGAAGGCCTTCCTTACTCTGGTTCATTTCTTTATCTGTTAATAAAGATGAAAATCTCTGGTATATTTGTCAATGTGTGCTAAGTCATGTACGGAAAGCACAAAGCAATCAATAAGTCACACACACACACACACACACACACACACACACACAGTGGGAGAATGATCACTGTCACTCCTTCCAAGTGGCAGGTGACTGTGTGTGCTGTCCTTTTTAGAAGCTGTGCCCTGGGATGCTGAAATACACCTGAACCACCTAGTCATCACAACAAGCCTAGGGAGTAAGCCCATGGCTGTCTCATTTGCAGATGTGGAAGATAAGGCACAGATATTCCCAAGGCACCAGATCCACCCTGGAGCAGTGGCGAGGGTGTGAGACAACTTCGCACACTGTGGGCTGGATGGGACCTTGGAAATAATTTTCATCACTCCACTTTCATTGGCCCTGAATGCTCATGCTTTATCTAAGCCTTTGATAACACAGGTGATTGCTGGAGACCCAGGAATTGCACACACACACACACACCCCACACACATCTGTGCAAGTATGAGCCATGTACACATAATATGGACGCATATACATGTGCTAACAATGTATATGTTAACAGGGTTAACAATGGTGCAGCTCTCTAGAAAAGACACACTGATTCCTCCCTAGTCAGCCCAAAATGTTATGTTTTGGACAATCTTGTCAAACTGCTTCCTGGACAGAAAATAAGCAGGAGTCTGATGGCCCATGCTGTGCTGTGGGCTGGGCCCTTCAGTGACATCCTGATATGTGGATGTCCATTGTCCTTTTCTCTACCCCCATTTTACAGTTGGAAAGACTGAGGCTCAGGCTGGTCTCTGTAGGTAACAGAGCCACCAAGGATTCACACACACACACACACACACACACACACACACACACACACACACACACAACCCTTCCCATGTGCATTCTGTCAGAGACCCCTGCTCCAATCTCCTGCTCAGTGCTATGATTTGTGGTGAGAAGACGCAGAGACAGAGTTAAAGACTCAGAGATATGGGCCACCAGGATTGAGTGATGCTCATGCAAACAAGGCTGAACAAAAAAGGCCCTGAACACCTAGAGCCGCCAATATTTATTGGTGACATCACAGTTAGATTGAGGTAAAGGGGCTACAGAATTGCTGTAGATATATCCCTGATGCAGGCAAGGCTTGTAAAGGAAGACACAAAGCATTCTTGAATTAGGAACAGAACAGACAAAATAGAGGTTGTGGTTAACAGTTAACCTTGTCTTTTTAGCAAAGAAAGTTTTAACTCTGGGAACAGAATTTGGGTGCGAGTCACTCTGACATGGGCACAAGATTTCGGCCAGACTCACTCCTATAAACAAGCCAGTTGTGGGGTTAACTCTTTACAGCCTGCTTTGGGCAAAATCAGTAGAGTAGTCTCCCACAGTGTTGTTCAGATACTGACATTGATGAATTGCTTCCTAGCTTTATTCTGCAAACCTGATTCCCTGTTTCCTGCTCTGGGTTATGGTTGTGTGGCCAGACAAGCTTGCAATTAGAGCCCTTGCCTCAGCCTTCAGCCTGACTCCCCACACCCCATCCACAGTGGCTCAGCACAGCAGTGTCTGTTTGCTCCAATCTGCTTCTTTCCTTCCCCCTTCCAGGAGCTGCCAGTCAGGTGGGCTCTCATGAATCCTTTCCGGGGATGGAATGAGACAATATAATCGCTCCCTCTGCACCTGTCAGGTAGCTGCTGCATTAGGCAGCGTGTCTAAGGTTGTTTTTAGTTCTGATCAAAGTGATTGAAACAGATGTACCTCATGGGGCTTATTAAAAGGCAGGGAAAATTACTCATCAGACATCTGACTTGTTCCTCGAAACTCTTTGTATGCAGATGCTCCTGCCTCCTCCCCTTAAATAAACAAGTGTTTAGTTTGCTGATCAATAGTTAAGATTGGGCGAAGGGGAGGAGAACCCATTTAATTACAGGCACAGAATGGCAATGGTGTATTGTGCTGCTCTCTTGATACAGATTTGAGAAATAATCACCCTCTTTGACAGAGAGAAACATCATCTGCCTCCCGTTCATTTGCTCATTTGTTCAGTAAACTTTGCCCGGGCACCTGTTGAGTCATGTGTTAGGCCCAGTGACTTGGATGTGGTACTGATGGATATGACGCGATCTCTGCTTCCAGGAAGCTGGCAGTCTGGAGGGGAAAGATGCACACGGACAGTTACAGCAGGAGTGTGGTAACCATGGGCTATTGCTTCGGTAATGCTTATGGATGGATGCGAACAGGTAGCTTTGTGCTGCGGCTCTCAGGGCTATCTACCTCCTGACATTCCTGCCCCACCTGAGCCTCTCCCCTGGGTGTAGCTGGATCCTGTCACTTGCTTCTCGTAAAAGGAATCTAGCAAGAGTGATGGGAAGTCACTCCTAAGATCAGGTAACTAAATATAGAGTGATGCGTCTGTGAGCTGGCTGCTAAGGCAAGGGAGTCATGAGCACTGATTGAGCTCTTGGTTGATTTGGATGGGCTCTCTTCCCAGATTTTAGTTAGATACATAGGTACCTAACCACCTGCAGTAAAAGCACTCACAAGCCAGGCTTATGGATTGAATTGCATCCTCCCCTATGTGGGTGTTCTAACCTTAGCATATCACAATGTGACCTTATTTACAAATAGGGTCTTTGCAGACATATTCCGGCAAAGATGAGGTCCTCAGGCTGGGTCCTAATCTGATATACAGTGTCTTCATCAAAGGGACTTTTGGGCACAGCAGTAGACACACACACACACACACACACACACACACACACACACACACACACACACACACACACACACAC